TCAGCATTGTTCACACATACTGCCAGTAGCTCTCTGGGGTTTTCAGACAGAGGTCTCTCCTAGACATAAGAATATAAGAAGAACCTGCTGGATCAGGCCAATGGCCCATCTAGCACAGCATCCTGTTCTCACAGTGGCCAACCAGATGCCTGTGAGAGACCTGCAAGCAGCATTCAAGCACAAGTGCCCTCTTCCCTCCTGTGGTTTCCAGCAACTGGCATCCAGAAGCATTTTTGTTTCTGCCTGTGAAGGTAGAGCAAAATCATAATGGCTGCACAAAAAGATGTGAATATTAGGGGGAGGTTGGTATAGAAATGTATATTTTGGTGAACATATCACATAAAATGCATGACATTTCAGAGTATTTCTTGCAAAAAAGGAGTGCACATCTGGCAAAATGGCATACAAAAATATGTATACACTGGAAGAAATTTGTACCCAAAATGATGGATTTTCATGAGGACTTTTTTAAAAAAAGAAAAGAATCTCAAAGTGATGCAGAATCTGGAGGCCTGAACTTAACACAGCAACAACGAGAAACTGAGAAAAACTGAAACTGATATATTTGTCCATCTGCAGCAGAATCAAAAAAGAAAAGAAAAGAAAAGAAAAGAAAGAAAGAAAGAAAGAAAGAAAGAAAGAAAGAAAGAAGAAAGAAAGAAATAGAAAAAAAGAAGAAGAAATCTTGGGTATGATGGATTATGCTATATGATACTATAGAGATATAGATATAGATATCCAACATTGGTCATACACACACAGAGTAAAAGCAGTGAAAACAATGGAATTAAGTAACTTAAGTCCATTAATTTCAGTGGGTCTACTCCAAGTATGACTTGATATCACCCTTAATCTCACAAAGAAGATCCTGGTTTGCTCTTGAAAAGTCAACACTGCCTACCAAAGCAGCGCTAGATCTCCCACTGCAAACAAACCACATGGAAAGAGAAAGGAAAGATGAAACAAGTGACCCTTGTGAATGGACTCTAAAGCTTTTAATTAACACCCTCTGAAAAGCATGGTGTTTCTCCCCACCAACTAATAAGAAGCAAGAGTGTGGGGTCTTTGTTGGTGCTCAACTCTTGCCTGCACTCTAAGAAACTGAGAAAAGACTAATCAGGGTTGTTTTAAAGCCATTTTCTACTTGCTGGGTTTCAATCTCTCATTAATTCACTCTTAGCTCACATCATTGTTTAGGAGTGTTTGAAAATCACCAAAGAAACAAGGGTTTCCCTTCATCCTGCCCATCAAAGGTAATGCTCTTGAAGATGATACCATGCTGAAGCAAGGATCTGAGAGACAAGGCCAGGAGGCGTGGCTCAGCTCAATATCCCCCTTTGGCCTCTGGTAAGGGCCAGGGCTGGTGTTTTGTACCTGATGAAAGGTAGATGGGAGAGTTCCTGTTGAGGACCATAGCTGATCAAAGTTCCTTATGTTAATTACTTTAAACCAGTCATTCCAGGAACTAGGCTCTTCTGGAAGCTTCCCAGAGGTCCAGTGCAGGTAAACAACAACAGCAACAAAGGATGTATATCAAAGGTCTAAACCTGATGGTTAATGAAAGCTCCCGTATATGAGACCAAGCAACACAAGGGCCACTTAATGTCCTTGTTCAGAATAACACCTTCATATGCATCACTGGATGACATATAGCATTTGATAACTTTCAGCTGAACTTGTTTACAGACCATGTATCCTGCTTTCTAGATGACAGCCTTCTCTCCTAAGGGCCTTCAGAGGACAATCCTCTACTTGAAGGTGCCGTCTACTTGAATAACACCCTACAAATGGAGATCAGAGGCCTTGAAATTGCCTATCAACAGTTAGCAACTGGACTGCACACAGAGCAGGATACACACAGGTCACCTGATCACAGCCTTCCCAACTCAGTAAAGATGGATTGCCTTACCTTTAAACTTATTTCTAGATGTGTGTATGTGCAGATCAATCAGCATGGGCACATTTGGTCCATGTTGTATTCCTTTCTTCTTTTCTTTTCTTTTCTTTCTTATTGTGTAAGTGGCCATCTTATACGGAGTACAATGCAATGCTCAAGTTATGAACTCTCACATTATTAAGGCTGGAAAAGACTCTTGCCTGAAGTCCTGAAGCCCTATGTAGTTCAGTGGGAGAGCATCTGCTTTGCATACTGAAGTCTCCAGATTTGACCCCCCCCCCCCCCAGCATCTCCAGGAGAAATGGAGAAGGACTACCATCTGAAAACCTAGAAAGTCACTGAGTTGGCAATACTGAACTAGAAGGACCAATGGTCTGACTTGGAATGGTCTGGCTTCCAATGTCCCTGTTATCCACCCCTTGGTTCTCATCAGTTTTATCCAAGTCATGCCCTCCTATAGCCTTCTATAAAAGTAGCTAAGTGGGTTGGCATAAGAGGTAAATGAGTTAAGCCATGAGAATAGTCACCCATCCAGTAATCTAAGCATTGACATGGCTAGCCAGCTGCAGTCCTGGATGTGGTTCTGATTGGCCTCATTCATCTTTTACTGATGTCTCACTGGGCACGTACACGAGAGAGTAACACAGTCATGAAACTATGGGTGAAAGAAAGCTTCATTTACAAGCTTTTCACCACCATGTCTCAAACACAAATGTTCTTCCTCAGAGAGAAGAATGCATTGTACAAAAGAAGCTTTTGATATTCTGACTGAATCTTGTCTTTTCCAGTTTACTCCTGAGTAAATGGACTTTTCCTGAAGCTTTACGCTTGTGGCTGAATTTTCCTCATCTAATCACACTACAATTGTTTGCAATAAGTCATTGGTAATGTAGAGTGATGTACAGGAGACTGAATCCAATCCAAATATTGATGTCTTCATTTATATGTTGAGTAGTTTCCTTTTGAGGAAGAACATTTATGTTTGAAATACAATGAGAATCTTGGAAATCAGCTTGTTAATAAATTTTTCTTGGCTCCAGCTTGTTTTACTTTCTAAATGTCCTGTTTTGCAGAGTGGCTGTCTATCCCATGGTGGACATAAAAGTGTCTATGTATCAGGGTAGCCAAACCAATCACAAAAGCTTTCATTTGTGTTCCTGGCCAGGTGCCTCAGACCCTGAGCTCTCATTTTTAAAACAAAAATTATTCCTGTGAAGTTAGAGTGAGTGTGGTGTGGCCACCTTGCATATTTTTCGTGATGTTAAGGAGTGTTCCATGTTGTTATTAGACAGCAACAGCATCGGTGTGTGGGGGTGTGCAATCAGTATTGTGTGATCTCCACAATCAAGACCAGCAAGACATGGTAAGCATAAGGTTGTTGTTGAGTGGTTGTCTCTCAGATTTTGTGTTATGCCATATCCCTATGGCACCCATTTTGTGTTACACCATGATGGCAGCCATTTTGTGGCTGGCACCCACAGCACCCTCATAATTCAAAATGTGCCCACTGGTCCAAAAAGGGAGTTGCCCCTGATATAAACTCTCACCAGTCTTCTCCCTCCCTTCTGTGGCCTTTACAGGGGCTGGATTGCATCACTCTGCCAAACTTTCTTATTTCTTCTTCTTATCCAGGTCATGCACTGTGCACAGGTATTAGTTTCTTGCTTTATTTACAATGGACATTTCTACCCCACATTTCCAAAATCATGCCCAAGGTGGCTAACAACAACCATGCAGTATCACAATAAAATTGCTGTGGAAACAACAATTTGCATAGCACAAGTGGAGGAGATGAAACCAGTGGCCAATGGGAACAACCGTAACGTGAGAAATTATGAGGCAGAATAAGTCAGTCAACCTTGAAGGTTGAAAGCCAGACTGAAAAACAAGGCCTCTTCTACCTGGTAGAAGACCAACCATGAGAGTCTAGGAATGTAAGAAGCTGCCTTATAGTGAATTAGACAATTTGGTCTATCTAGCTCAGTAATAGCAACAATGACCAATGGTAGTTCTTTGGGGTCGCAGGCAGGAGACATTCTCAGCCCTACCTGGAGATGCTGATAATTTAACCTGAGACCTTTTGCATGCAAAGCAGGTGCTCTATCACTTGAGCCGCAAGCCATCACCATTGTTTCCTTGGGCAAAACTACTCTATCCTCCCACTAAACATACCTGTTAACACAATAACCAGACACACTTCAGATGTTGGCAGCATTAAGAGGTCTACTGGAGAAGAGGACATCTCCCTCAGATCTGCATGCCTGCTACCCAGTTCTAAGTCCAGTGCCCTGTTGCTTTTGTGCTTGTACTTTTCAGCCGCAAATATGATTAGGAGAACATCTGACTGCTGCAACCAGAGTCAGCAGGAGTCAAAATGGAAATGGGCAATGTATTCCCTTCCCTCTTCATCTCATAGCAGACTTCACAGTTCTTGGAGCTGTGTACCTTTTGAATGAATGTTACTATAGCATCCCTGTGCCTCTCCATCCAAGCTTCCCAATACTGATGTCTGCCACACTTCCATTCAGCTCTGCAAGGAGCTGCAGAGATTGGTCTTTTGCAGCCTTTGGCTGACCCATCAAGATTCTTTTCCATTGGAAGACCTTCAACGCTGGCAGTTCTCGAGGGAGCCATTCATAGGCAAGACCCAGTTCCTGCATATTGCCAATAAAATGAACAAAACAAAAACAATGGTTTGGTTGCAAATGGGGAACTGGGATTCAGCCAAGAAAAACCATGGCTTTTAGCCCAGCATCACAAAAATAAAATAAAAATACTTTCAAGATGCAGAGGGCTTTTCTTTTCTCATTCAATTTTCTCTGTGCTCCTTTAGATTTTATAGGCCTTTCCCAATATAAAGTTTGCCTACTGACTTTTGCCCACTTTAATAAAGTGTAAAAAGCTCGGTTCAAAGGGATTGTGTGAAAATGAACACTTGGGGCTTGAAAACCGAAGAAGGGCTTGCTAATGGTTGAACTACTGAAATACATACTGTAGATTCATTATGCCAATTTCCTTGTATGCTCTTTTTGTTCAGAAACTCATTTGGAAGCTGTTTGCAGTCAAGTTCCACCAGGACATTTTAAAAGTATTTATTTTGTAGCTCTGCTTGAGATGAACATGGCAAGGTTGCTGAGCTGCTGGAGAGTATTAAAGAAGCACGGTGCTTTGCCGGGTCAGGGTGCAGTGAGCCACCCACTTTCTATAAAGAAATAATTTATTATTATTGATAGATTGCATTTCCATCTCTACAAGGAGCTCATGGTGGCACACGTGCTTCTCCTCCCCCTCATTTAATCCCCACAACAATGTTGTGACGTAGGTCAGTCTGAGAGGCGGTGACTGGCCCAAGGTCACTGGGTGAGTTTCATGGTCAAATGGGGATTTGAAACCTGGTCTCTCGGTTCTAGTCTGGCACTCTAACAACTATGCCACACTGGCACCAATGTGGTTGATGCGCTGTTCTGTAGTATACTTAGGTTAATTATTAATTTTGCCTCACTCAGCCACATAATATTATGAACCATGAGGTTTGTAGGGCTATTTATTTACTAAGCTTATTTATTTTTTATTAAATCTTTATCACACACCTCTTACCAAAGGAAGACTATTCCACTATAGTCCCAGAAGTGGCTTTCATGAAATGCAGAATAACAGGTATAATGCAGAAACAAATAGGGAAATGTTCTAGAAATGGAATAAGCTGCCATGTGAAAGCAGCCCTGGACTTTGACACCCGAGATGTGCATTTTCAGGTTTTCTGGACCCACCTGTGATTGCAATATGTTGTAAAAGTTTTTCACTTTTCATTTAAAGTTGCTCTAACTCACCCTGGGACTTGCTTGAAGGCTGGGTGATTAATTTAATGATGATGATTTCTTTTGTCACACTCAACCATTAATGGAAAAGGTGTATCATAGCCATGAGGACTGGGCAACATCAAATGTAGGTGGAGGCGGGGATGTATGTAAGATTTAGTGAATAAAACACAGTACTTTTTTTTTAAATGAAACTTTCAGATCTCCAGTACCTTTTTGGTGCATTTCACTGTCCCTTAGTATTGCTTCAGTATTGCTGAGACGGTGAACACTAAGATCAAGGCCCTTGGCTAATTAAAAGATGGGCAGCAGCTTTCCCTTAATGAGATTTGGCTTCAGCCAAACGAAGCTCTCCTGGTATGTGGTGGTGTAAGGCTCTCAAGAGAAGCAGACCTCCCCTAAGATGAAGGGAACCTGTCCCGATTAAGTTGAAGTAAATCTTTTTTATTTATTTTTAAGTAATCCTCTCTCTAAAGGAATGAGCTTCTTCTTTTTTTTACAATGGTGTCCCTGAGTGTACACAGGGGGTCCTTGAGAGCTTTGTAGACAAGAAGGCATCATTCACTTGAACTGGGATCTTGAAAAGGGGGGGGACCCACACAAACCCAAGCAATACAGCTTAGCAATGCAACTTTTGTTAAACTGGGCTGCATATAAGTTTTAGTGCTCACAGTTCCTAAGAGATGTATGAACGTTCTTCCCCCAGAAAAGTTACTAATCTTAGTGAACATTTCTTAGTTGTCCTTAAAATCCCAGCTGAGTTCAGCTGAGCAGGACCACCATATTCCACCTCTCTTTTCAGTAGCAGCTTTGAAGGAACTTGGATTTATTCAGATTTATTATTATTTATTGATTTGATTTATTTCTACTTATTTTCACTGCCATCAAAATGCTTACAGGGGAAGCCTAAAGTGTTGCTTTAGCCAACATTTGGTAGGGACTTGAGACTACAGGTTGGACTCATCATGGAGCATGAACCAGACTGTGTAATGATCCAAGTGACATTGTTGGGGATGAAATGGAGCTGAATTAGTATAACATGAGGTAATCACCAGGTTTGGGGATAATAGTCTAAACCCATAAAGGCCACTCTGTTAGGGCAAATGGAACACTATCCCACCAACCTCAGTGTACTCATAGTCATAACCCATCTGCCTGCTTTCTTGTTTACAGCTAGTTGGTAATTGTCCTTGTCACTGGCTCTGGCTCCACCTGCTGTTGGCCTCCACCCTACCAGTTCCATTGGTAACCAGCCACCACTGATCCAAACTCAGTTCCAAGCCCTACTATATGAACTGGCCTCACAACTGGTCCTCACCTGCCCCCTTCCATTTAAGTGTTTAGTCAATACATTCCAGCTGTAATAAAATAATGCAAATTGGGATCTTGAATGCTTAAGGTCTCAGCTTAATCCACGGCCATATTTCTGCTAGTGTGATTGCCTAATTAAAAGATCCATTAAAATGGAATGAATAGGGAAGTCTAAATGTGTTCCATTAGAATTTGTTTCTCTCTCTCCCGCGGGAAGAAAAATGAATCTCCCCAGCTTTTGACCAAACAATGGCCACATTCACACCATACATTTAAAACACTATGGTGCAGCTTTATACAGTCTTGGTTCCCCACCAAGAAATATAATTTGTTAAAGAAGGTGAGAGTAGTTAGAAGACCCCCATTTCCCTCATAGAACTACAGTTCTCAGGGTGCTTTAACAATCAGTTCCTCTTCAGAGGAAGGCTATATTCCTTTGAAAATATATAGGATTGTCAAGTTTCATGTTTCTGTCCACCATTTACATGCAATATCCATTTTCATTAATTTTTATCTTGGTTTGGATCTTAGTTGATTTATTGGTGTGATATACGTTGCTTACTGAGAATGTTTCTTAGGCCCTGTCTGCACCATACACTTAATGCAGTACCATACTGCTTTAAACAGTCATGGCTTCCTCCAAAGAATCCTGGGAACTATAGTTTGTTAAGGGTGCTGGGAGTTATTAGGAGATCTCTATTCCCCTTGCAGAGCTACAATTTTGAGAGTTCCCAGTAATAAGAGATTGGTTATTAAACCACTCTGAGAATTGTAGCCCTGTGAGGGGGACTAGGGGCCTCCAAACAACTTTCAGCACCCTTAACAAAAAACAGCTCCCATAATTCTTTGGGGGAGGTCACGACTGTTTAAAGTAGTATCATCATTTTTTTAAACAGTCAATGTGAATGTGGCCTTAGTGTCAATGGCTATGCTGAATTTTCACACAGTACTGAAGTGTAAAGTACATCAAGCAACTGGTGGGAGCTTTTTTTTGTCCTAAAAAATAAGAAAAAGAGTGAGTTTGGGGAAGAAGCAAGCCCAAAAGCCAAAGTCATTATTTTTACATGGAATGTTTCGCAGCAGACACAAACAACGGGGCGTCCTGACTGAACTTCTCTGCTCCCCTGCCGTTTGTGTGCATGATAGTTTGGCAATTACACAGCTTTGGTTGAAACAGTCAGTTAGGCAGAGAAGTTCACACATACTGTGGGGAATGGGGGGGGAGCAGGAGGTTGGGACATTGCTTGTCAACAAGGAGAAGAACATGTCCTCATCTGCATGAATTTAAGAAATAATCCAGGCTTAATGCTTTTACGAGAAAGTGTTTTTTTGCTTAAAGACAGAAATAAAACAACCCAACTTGGTTCTTTGTGTCTCAAAATCAAGGGGCTTGCAAGTTAAGGTATAAGGACACTGCAAATAAGGGTTCTATGGCGAAGAGAATCTGCGGGAGTTTGCAGCTAATGAGACTTGGTGATGGCTTTGGACAGCATGCATGCTTAGGCAATGCATGTGCAGGCACTTGAAGAGGCTTCCTGACATACATTGTCATACATCTATGAAAGGGTGCACTCTGTTAATCAAGAATATTTGTTTTTAAATTCATTTGTTTCCTTAATACAGATTTCAAAATTATTGTTTCTCCCATTGCAACACAGAAATCCCTAGAGACAGAACAGGCTGTTGATTGCTTATTGATGTCACTAATTAGAACTAGTAAACTGGGGAGAACGGAGGGCTGGTTGTTTTTTGTTTGGTCAAGGAAGCCATTCAAGCACAGCTCTACACCCCTGTTCTCTCTCATATCCAGGTGTACTGCCTTAACTGTATGTCAATGACTTAATGTGGCAGTTCAAGAGCTCAAGTCCAGATTCCTGGCAGCACAGAAGAAAGGGGACAAAAGTTAATGAAATTGTTCTTCAGTAAGCATGGCCTAGTTCTCAGTAAAGTGGCAAGCCAGTGTTATCTCTTCAGTAGCCATGAGTGGTCAGTGTGCGGGTATTGCAGAGCTGCCCTCCTGACAGGCACAGCTGCCACTTACTTGGCCTGAATGGGGTGGACAGGGCAGGGGGGTGTCACAGCCAGCTACCTGAATTTCCTTGCAGCTGTGTTTTTAGAACTCACTTTCCAGTTTCTGAGCAGTCTCCAAAGGAAGCCCCATACACAATGCACTGCAGTAGTCAATCTTTGATCAGGGGTTGGCCTCAAAAACAAAAGGGGACAGCCATGTGGCTCCAAGTGAGTTTTATTCTATTCCAAAGAATTCCAAGGAGCCACAACACTATATAGCCCTATATCCATTGTTTTTTTGGTAATTTGTTAGCTAGTCAGATAAATGAACCAAGATCCATTAGGAGAGGCAACAGACTAAATAAAACATTGAAAGCCAGAGCAATTGCAAAATCTTCCCCTTCCTTCCCTGACAAGATGGGGACTTTTTATAAAAAGGTGTACGTTCTCCTCTGTTGTTCAGGATGCACAAAAACCACAACCTCAATGTGGCGAGTCAATCTTAAATTACCAGAGAGACAGAGAGAGGGAGCATTAAGGTCACTGGGGAGGCCATAAGCTTCATCACTTACAGAGGTGGGTAATTAGAGAGTTGATGGTGATGCCAGGCCCCTTTTTTGAGCCAACTGCAGTTTACAGAGCTGCTCCCGCTTACAGAAACAAATGCATACATTTTAATAACAGGAAATAAATATGTGCTGAGGGAGTTATTATTCCATTAATGTTCAAACAATGCCAGTGACTTGCCAATAAAGACCTCATCTGAGTCATTTTAATTATAAAAGGGAAGGGCAGGATAGCAGGGGATCAGGTCTACTTCAGAGTTGCATTGCTACGCACATTGGAATGCATCTCTCTGGGAGACTACAGCTAAGTCTGCCACAAGGGGAAGGCAACTGAGTTGCAACATAACCCCAACTCCCCCCCCCCCCCAAAAAAATAAGATGCAATGCAATACAATAAAAAATAAAATAACTGGTCATGCAACAAACCACTCTTGGTTGCAACTGAATTCCCTCTGCATAAAGCTGAATGTATGTCAGGAAATGTACTTTATTCCATAGACCCACACTCAAATACCTGAGTTGGTTAGAGCATGGTGCTGATAATGCTAAGGTTGCAGGTTTGATCTCCATAAGAGGCAGCTGCATATTCCTGCATTGCAGGGAGTTGGACTAGATCAGGCTTCCTCAACCTTGGCCCTCCAGATATTTTTGGCCTACAACTCCCATGATCCTTAGTTAGCAGGACCAGTTGTTAGGGATGATGGGAATTGTAGTCTCAAAACATCTGGAGGGCCAGGGTTGAGGACACCTGGACTAGATGATCCTCAGGGTCCCTTCCAACTCTATGATTCTATCAATCTATCCATCTATCTTCCACCTCCTTTACAGGCCACCTTGCGTTTTAACATCAGAAGAGAGGGTCCTATTGGTTTCTCCACCACTCTCAGACTCTTTGCCTACCTGGAATGCATCTTTGAGTTCTGGTCACGTCTCTTGCTTGTCTGGATAGATGCTAGAGGAGGGTGTGTGAGTATGTGCAGAAACTATCCTACTATAGAAAGGTAAAAATGGTACCTTTGTACACTTTGGCACCTCCCATTAACAACATGTTGCCCTCAGAAGGTTGTACAGAAGGGAATGTGGTGCTTGGGCTAAAAAAGGTTGCCTACCCTCTTCTAAAGATCCTATCAATATGTAGCTGACATCGCCATCTTGAACACTCTCCTCCCTCTCTATCTAATAGAAGAATGGCAAATAAAATAAAAACCCATTCCTCATCAATTATAATATAAAGCACTTGACATTAAAATAAAATAAAATAAGAAAGAGACGATGTTCCCAAGAAACAGAAAAGCAAAAAACACACTGCCTGGCCAAGATCATATGCCAGCAAGGGATGACCTTTTCTGATCGAAAACCTGATTAAAATGGCTTAAAGAAATCATTATTGGGGAGAAACATATTGAAAAGATCTCCCTGAACGGGAAAGCTTCAAAGGCTTGGGGAGGATCACTAATGTTCTCAAAACTGGGGTGGGGGGAGCAGCCCGGTCTTTGTGTTTTGTTCTCTGCATCACACTTCTCAAGCGCTGACCCCTCGTGCTCTGAATCTGCCGGGTTCTGAAGCTCTAAACTCTGAGCACACAATGCCCTTGAGTGGGGGTTGAGGGTGTCATTCATCTGCGTTGTCTGTCTCTGCATACATCTGCTTCCCTTCTTCGCTGCAGACTGATATGGTGAAAACAATATGGTGAGAGCTACTTCATATTCTCTGGCTTATTAGAACAGGAACAGCATGCTCTCACCACCACTGCAACTCTGAGTGGGTACTGCTTTCTAAATAATACTTGGGGATCCAGAAGGCATATGAATCAACGTAGAAGGATCTACTATCTATCTATCTATCTATCTATCTATCTATCTATCTATCTATATCTATATCTATCATCTATCTATCATCTATGCAGTTTACAATATAAAAGCAAAAAAATGCCATTTAAAACCAATGAATCAGTCAAATAAAACCATGTAAAAATACATAAAAGAAAATTTCAGGGGATTACCAAATGTGAAACAAGGTCCAATCTTATGGGTCAGGGAAAACCTGCTCAAAAAGATGTCTTCATAAGAGATAGAGAGTTTGATAACATAAAGGAAATGTATTAAAAATACTTGCTTGTTGTTCCTTGTAAAACTAAGGTACAGCCATAGCATGTTCATAAATGTCAGCATGACTTTTTTGGATCCCACTGAGGCAAGTGACAGCTTCCCAAGGCATCAGTATTAACTTTAAGTCATTTATTTGGAAATGTGAGCTTTCCCTTCCTTTATTGAACAAGATTTATATACAGCTTAATTTTAAAAACTGCAAGCCATTTACCTAGAATAATTTAACATATTTTTAAGGAACATTAAATATAAGCTGACATAAATTTATCAAAATGGATAGTCAACAGTTTTAAAAACAATATATTGCAAGTCTGGATAGGTTTACCTAAACAGAAAAGTTTTAGCAGGCTTCAAAAACAACACAATGGTGTCTGCTTCTTATAAATAGGGAATTCCAGAAAAGAGGTGCTCACAGACACATTCATGGCAGTCTACGACAAAAATTATATGGTAGATGTAAAAAATGCCAGTTACACATATCATAGTGTTCAAGTGGACACATATGGGGTGAAGCAATTAATCAAGTACAGTGGTACCTTGGGTTAAGTACTTAATTCGTTCCGGAGGTCCGTTCTTAACCTGAAACTGTTCTTAACCCGAAGCACCACTTTAGCTAATGGGGCCTCCTGCTGCCACCACGCCGCCAGAGCATGATTTCTGTTCTCATCCTGAAGCAAAGTTCTTAACCCGAGGTAATATTTCTGGGTTAGCAGAGTCTGTAACCTGAAGCGTATGTAACCTGAAGCGTATGTAATCTGAGGTACCACTGTAAACTGCTACCAAACTCTTTCAGGTTTAATATACTGATAGTACTAATAGTAATGCCTTGAACTTGGCCCAGTAGCTCCACTGGCATGTGACCCTCAGAAGGTCACCCAGAGGGATATGTGGCCATCAAACTGCAAATGTCTCCCCACCCATGACCTGCGACCTATGTTCTTCACCAAGGATATGAGCATGTGGCACCTTGGCCAAGCACTCAAGCTTCAACAGATCTCTTTCACTCCCTCCATTGTCCCTGTTTTCTGCCTGGTTCTTGCTGACAGCCTCCCTCTCCTCTCCTCTCCTCTCCTTCTTTCCTGCTCCTCTCCAGTTTGCCATAAGGGTGAGTCCCCCATTTAATCAAGTCCAGCATTCTGTTCTTGCTGTGGCCAACCAGATGCCCATGGGAAGCCCACAAAGCAGAAACTGAGCACAACAGTGCTCTCCCCACTTGCGGTTCTCAACAACTTGTATTCAGAAACATAGTGCCTCTGACAGGGGAGGTAGAACATAAGACATTGTGGCTAGGAGCCACAGAAAGCCATTATCATCCATGGCAATCAGTGTGTGTGTTTTATTTTTAACGAATAAATAAAAGAACTTCATCTTGTCATTTCCATGTTCTTTCCCCATAAATGAGCCAACTTTTTAAAGAAGTCTATGATAACATGTTTGTTTGTGTGTGTGTGATATTTCATTTTTTAAAAAGCAAGTTTAGAAATTTCCATGCTAACTGGTAACACTCTGCTCGAAATGGCAGGTGGCGTTGAATAGTTTAAACCTCCCATTTTCAGCTTCAATATCTGACACGGACTCATGTATGGCACAGCGACAGGATCAGTTTGAGCAAATCCCTCCTTCGCTCAAAGACACATTGTCTTATCAGCGGAGAGTGAAAGTGCAGTTGGAGTATAACGCAAGCCCATTTCTCGCAAGCTCAGAGCTTAAGCACTTTGTTATTGGTTATTAGGGCTGGAGTCCCAGAGATAAACCTACAACTACTGTACCCCAGTTAAGGGCAAGTAAGCAAAATCCCCGACAAAAGTCTGTTGTAAAATGATGAATAAGCCTCCTAAATTGCCATAAGGCGCAAGTGACAATGGAATCGTATTTGTCAGACATCCATTGTAACCCTAAGGTTATCGTACTGGGCCAGCAGATACAGAAGGAGTATTTAACATTATCACCCCTAATCATTTTTCCTACCGGCTAAAAAACTCTACTGGGAGCACTACCACTTAGAGGTAGATGTGTCTTCCACTAGATGTTGTAGAAAGCATTTGGAGAAGGGAAAAGAAAACTATATCAAAGACCACTGTACTCATACTCACACAATATATGAGAAGTGAGATTGTGTGTGTGTGTGTGTGTGTGTGTGTGTGTGACACATGTATCACACACAAACTTACTTAACCATGTCCCAAAAGGCCCGGAGTTTTAAATAATAAAATACTGCAGATTACTACTTTATTGGTTAAAAAAAAAAGTGTATGAAAAATTATCTCTTGCCCTGTGGGAAGACATTTTATCTGAAATTATAGCAACTCCAAAAGAGCACTCTGATATCAAATTTAGAACTTAAAGCAGCTTTCCGTAACATTTGCTCTCAAGAAAAAATAAAATAGGCCACACTATATTATTCCTATGGCAAATGAAATCATAAAGTGCAACTTTCCCTTTGGAAAGGAAGACATTTTATCTTCCTTAAGTCTTCTTCCCTTGTAGGTCAAATATAGCTGGTTCACCTGGCATAACCTCAAAGTCTGTCTATTTCAGTTCTCCCAGTTTATCATTTCCTCCCCAATTTTAGATTTATTTCTCCACCTTTCTGCAATTTGCAAATCATTTTTTCTTAAAAATTATCACAAAAGTGTTTCAGCATTTTTATGCAAATTTATCCTAATAAACACATTATTTTTTGCAAGGCAGTTTTCCTTCATACAATGCATGTTTTGTATGTTATCTTCACTACTATGCATCTGTATGTACATGTTAGGTTGGCATGTGCATTTCTATACACATTACTTGGCTGGAGAACTATATTGCAAAATTAGAACAAGTGAAAATTCTGAAGGATGGCTGTTTTATGGTTTGTGCATTTTTTGGGAACGTGCAAATTTGGTAGCTTTGCCTTTAATTGTGAACTGATTCAACCCCCCCCCCCCCAGCAGTACCCCAATTTTCCATATCAATGGTGACTCCCTTAGGGCCTCCCTTACACACACACACACACACACACACACACACAGTTTGCTGCAGTTGGGTTTACTATTCAATAGTTTGTTTTCCTCTCATTTCAGAGGCCAGAAGTTGTCTACTGAAGATAAAGGTCACCACCAAGACCAAAACTTTTTTTTTAAAAAAAATATTTATTAGAGTTTAAAAATTACAGAAAAAAAGGAAATACAAGCAGTGAACAGTTACAAAACCTCAAAAACAAACAAACAAACAAAATACAATAAAACAAAACAACAACAGTACATCAAAACATTAAAAAAGAAAAAAACAGAAACATTTAAAAAGCACAAACCTTTGAAAAAATAGAAGGAAAAAAAACAAAAAACAAAACAAAAAAGACCCCGTATTTTCATGTCCTTATCTTTCATTTGCTTATTTCCTCGACTTCCTCACACCTCCTTTTTTGTATTTCAATTAATTTTTTGTAGTTCAATTAATTATTCCAGCAAGTCCTTTCCCTCTTTCTCAAATTTAGTTCCTTAATTTATCTTAACGCAATTTAACCTTAAGTTTTGCACCTTTACCCATTGTCAATCTATTCATACTTAATTCTTTATAACATTTCTGCTAAAGTTGTATAACTTCTTTCCAGCATCCTTCTAACATTCATTAATTTTACAATATTTCTGTAAATATACTTTAATTTTTTTCCAGTCTTCTTCCACCGACTCTTCTCCCTGGTCTCGGATTCTGCCAGTCATTTCCGCCAGTTCCATGTAGTCCATCAGCTTCATCTGCCATTCTTCCCTGGTGGGTAGATCTTGTGTCTTCCAGTGCTTTGCGATAAGTATTCTTGCTGCTGTTGTGGAATACATGAAAAAAGTTCTATCCTTCTTTGGCACCAATTGGCCTACCATGCCCAGCAGAAAGGCCTCTGGTTTCTTTAGAAAGGTATATTTAAATACCCTTTTCATTTCATTATAGATCATCTCCCAGAATGCCTTAATCCTTGGGCATGTCCACCAAAGGTGAAAGAATGTACCTTCAGTTTCATTACATTTCCAACATTTATTATCGGGCAAATGATAGATTTTTGCAAGCTTGACTGGTGTTATGTACCACCTGTAAATCATTTTCATTAAATTCTCTCTTAAGGCATTGCATGCCGTAAACTTCATACCAGTGGTCCATAATTGTTCCCAGTCAGCCATCATAATATTATGTCCAACATCTTGTGCCCATTTAATCATAGCAGATTTCACCATTTCATCTTGAGTGTTCCATTTCAGCAGCAAGTTATACATTCTTGACAAATTCTTAACTTTAGGGTCTAACAATTCTGTTTCCAATTTTGATTTTTCCACCTGGAAGCCTAATTTTTTGTCCAAATTATATGCCTCCATTATTTGATAGTAATGGAGCCAATCTCGTACTCTGTTTTTTAATTTTT